AGATCGCACAAACGACGAGTAACCCAATGAGAAAGCAGCCGCACTGCGCAAGAGAGATACTGCTTGCTTCCTATTCCATGTGTTGATTCTGCCATCGGTATCAACACCAAATACTGGTGCGCTGGCCGTCTCGAAGAGGCGCTCCATAACAGAACTCGTAACAAACTGCCTTGCAAGATCGGCATACCCTCCGCCCTCGTCAATGCATCCGTTCAACGTCCATCAAACACGTCCCACTCCGACAACGGATGACATCGTTATGAGATGCAAGCAGGGAGACTCGGAGCAACACCAACATGATCATATACCCAACGTCTAATCGAAATTAGATCCCGAACAGCATTCTGGATGGTGGCTGGTGAAACAGTAACGATCTCGTGGCCTGATGTAGCCTGAAGAAGATCCCAAGTGCAACAAACTATGACGGTTACCCCAACAACAACGAACCATTGAAAACGTACTACATGTAACACGATGAGGCTGCTCTAACATGCCGCAAATTGAACGGCTGCGTTGTCAACGGGTAGTGCTGGCACGGCTATTCCGCCAGCCTGCGTGGTCACCACCAGTGTCAGCTCGACAGCGCAGGCAAATTTCAGATGGTGGGCGATGGGAAATCACGATGTCCACACAAACCCAGAGATACACAGCCATAACAACACGCACACACCTACGCACACACACACGCGCTAGTGCACAAACAAATTGGCACACGTACGCGCGCAACTACATGACCACAAAACACAAAACCACAACAACAAACACACACACACACACACACGCACAAACATGAAGACACACACGCACAAAGACAAACGCAGGCACACACAGGCGCACACACAGGCACACGCAAACACACACACACAAGACAAACGCAGGCACACACAGGCGCACACACAGGCACACGCAGACACACACACACACACACACACACACACACACACACACACACACACACACACACACACGCACAAACACACGCACGCGCACACACGCACGCACGCCAACACACCCACACACACATATATTTTCGGTCGTCCGCGGGCATGCCACTCGCCATCCCGTCAAGAATGTCGCACGGGCGCGCACGCGCCGGCTGGGCAAGAGAGTGGCCGGGCCCTCGCAGTGCAGAGGCGTCAGCGGCCGCGGGGCAGCGGCGGGCAAGGGGCAGCGGCCGCAGGGCGGCGGGGGGGGAGGGAGCCTGGCGCCTGGCGCGCAGCAGCGAGGCGGCGGAGCAAGGCGATCGACACCAGGACGCCTCGGGAGCAGGAGCCCACCAGACTGAGGCGAGCGGTCGTCGCGGCCAGGAAACAGTCCGTGGAGTCAGACGCACGCGCGGGGGCCGCGCGCGCAGAGGAATGGGCCCCGCGCGGGGCGGTGGCAGGTCAGCAGCAGGGCCGACGGGCCGACCCGAGCCCCTGTAGGCGCTGCTGGAGGGAGATGGCACTGCCCTGGTCTTGTGGCCGGACCGCGGGGGGCCTGCGAGTGGGAACTGTCCCTGGCAGCGATGGCTTCTGCGAGAGAGGCCGCGGCGTCGCGCTCCACAGGGGGGGGCCGTCGACGACGGGTCGTCGGGGCGGAGGGGTGGGACAGGCACGGTCGGATATCCAGACGACCCCCGCGCTCCCTGCAGGGCGACGTCAACTTGGTCGGAGGCTCCACCTGCCAGCGCTGAGCGGCGGGCAACGTCTGGTGGGCAGTAGATGGCTGTGCAACCGGGATGGGATCGTTTCACCATTTTGCACCGGGGCGATAATGGAGATGCGTCCGCCCGCTTTGGTTATGGAGATGCGTCCGCCCGCTGCTATGGCCACAAGGGCTAGCCCGCCTGGCCGGGGCGAGAACCGGATGGACCGAAGGCACCCTTCTGGGTGCTGAGGGGAGATGGCTGGTCAGGGTCTGCGGCTCGCGGAAGCGCTGCGACGCCCATGCAGTGGCTATGTTGGTCCAGTCCTGGGAGATCAGAAGCGGGAGTGATGCAGGTGTTGCTCCGTCCTCGTCGTGCCAGAGATGGGGCGGCCAGAGCCCGCAAACAAGCTTGGCTCGAGTGGCTCCGATCTGGGCCTCCCGCAGACACGCTTCTCTGGCGCTTCTGACTATGGAAGAGTGAGCCATCGTGGCTGGGGGCAAATCCCCGACAAGGTCTCCAGCTGCGTCGAGTGAGTGGAGTGACGTTCGAGAGCTGGGGGCGTTCGGCATGTCGCTCATGACCGACGCGGTCAGATTGAGAAGCGGCCGCCAGGTTGCGGATGCCCCCAGGGATACGCGGGAGGTTGGCGCGCTGTCTGGGCATCTCAGCGCACGGGAGAACCTCGTGGAAATGGTCGTTGATAAACACACCACCCCTCCTCGGAAGGAAGCCACTACTGTGTCCCTTGCGCGCGGGAAGATGCGGAACCTCAGTACGTGGATGAGCGTGCCGCTATCTGGGTGTCGATGTCGGGCGCAGGCTGGGACGATGTGTTCCACAGCGTTGGGTCCGAGCGTGCGGACAAGAGCCGCCCTGGCGTCGCCGACGTGGACTTGATTGTGGGCGATGGCCATCCAAAATCCAATGGAGGTGGCGGCCGACGGTAGGGTCGTGGAGACGAAGGAACGTGCGGAGGGCGCCGGGAGCCTCAGGAACAGCGGCGGTAGGAGTGATGGTGAGGGTCTGCGGCGCGGTAGCAGCAGCAGCGGGGCCGTTGGCGCCCGCGTTCCTGAACGTGGGACGTGGCGCTGGCGGGTCAGCAGAGAAAAGCAGGAAGCCGTCGTTCGCAAGGGCGACTGCACATACAGGTCGGATGCTGCAGAAACGGCGAGCAAGGCAGCCTGCACCTACAGGGCAGCCTGCACCTACAGGTCTCCGTGAGGCAGAGGCCGTGGTTGAGCAGCAAGGATGTCAACGACTAGAACTTGTTCCTTGATCAAGCGGGTGGCAAGACATGATTTCCCGGAAGCGCACAGTGGCGAACCTGTGGCAGAAGGACTGGGCGATGCAGGACAGAAAAGGAACATAACTCAGAGAGCGCAGGCGGGAACCAAGGTGGGAACAAGGACGGCAGACAAGGAGGCGCAGGTGAACGACCAGAGAGCGCCAACAGCCGACACGACAGTGGAGGACGAGAGAGGACGAGAAGACGGGGGGCCACCGCCGAGCGGCGTCGAGCGGTAGAGCAGCCGCGGCGCAGAGACCGGGCGGGCAGGCACGAAACGACCGACGAACAAGCATGCGGGCGGAGGAAAGGAGACGCAGAGAGCAGAACCGGGTGAAAAGAAGCGCCGATGGCAGGCCTAGCCAGTTGGACGAGAACGTCGGACGGTCTAACGACCGAAACAGAGCAGGCGCGGCACGCACGCACACGCATACACACACCACAAGGACGCACGCAGGACACACGAGCACACATATAACCACACCTACACACAACCACACGCAAACAACCCCTCGCACACAAACTCAGAAACACACAAAAGCATAACCAACCGCACACACATGTGTACACAAGACCATACAAACAAACACATCAGCACACACAACCGCACAAACAGACACGAACAAACACACACACACAACCACACGCACAAACACACACACACACACACGCAACCAAACACGTAATCACACACACAAGCGCACAAACACGCACACAGTCACACACACAAACGCAAGCAAATACAGAATACATAACCTCATGCCCGTGAGAATAAACACTAGGGGATAATAAAGTTCGGGGTTCAGGGAGAGATAATAAAAGTAGCCCAGCAGACCTCAGCATAATCTCGAAGTAAGAGATGATCAAGAGGAGACCAAGCCGAGCACGTTTTGAGACATCCTTGGCGTTTAGTTTTCATAGAAATATCCTCAACAATGGCTTATCTCTCATGAAATTTTTTTTTGTAAGTGCTCGTGTAGGGTAGCTCATGTGCCTCAATTTCCATGGATAATCAACCCCAGAGATAAAAAAGTTCAGGCGAGCGTGGGGACAGAGAGAAATATAAAAGAAGAATAATACAGTAGAAGAATAATAAGAAAGAAGAAGAAGAGGATAATAAGAAGAGGACGAAGAAAGGAAAAATCCAAAGTTCCAAATCTATCAATTTTAATTTACAAACGCTTTATGAACATTGATTTTTTTAAGTGCTCGTGTAGGGTAGCTCATGTGCTTCATTTTCCATGGATAATCAACCCCAGGGATAAAAAAGTTCAGGCGAGCGTGAGGACAGATAGAAATATAAAAGAAGAAGAGGAAAGTATAATAATAATAAGAACATTGCTCGTTTCGTTTGAGTCTGCCTCCCAAAATTATTGGTTTCGCTTGACACATCCTGAAAAAGTGTGATCGCTTCGCTTGATGTTGCTATATCAACATCGCTTGATGTTGCTATCTCAACATAGCGTTTCGAGGTGATAATGAAGTTCGGCCTCAGCGCTCGCCGCCCAATTTGAATTTTGTATAGGGCGACGATAATCAACTCTAAACACTGAAGGGGGGGGGGGTCCCTTTATTATCATCGGCATGCGGTTACGCACACAAGACACCCCCCACCACATACACACAAACACAACCACACTTTTTGAGCGTTGCGGCCCGAGCAGAGCAGTCAAGGCGCCCGAAAGTCCCGCGGGCGCGCGCGCCGGCTAGGTAAGAAAGCGAGGGTCGGCCAGCCCTCACGGGGCAGTGAAGCACACACACACACATACGCACGCGAACATGTTGTATTTCCATGGCGCGGGGTTGGAGTGCAGGCAGCTGGTCAAACTCGACTCAGACGGGCCGCGTGCAAATGTAATGAGCTACCTCGAGAGGTAGCGTAAACTGTTCCACACATACGCACACATGCATGCACCCCCCCCCACACACATACACACACGAATCAGCCGCTGACCATCCTCGTGGCAACACTCCTCCGAACAAGGTCTGATGCTCTTATGGTTTATTCGTTATGGTATATCCACCCAATGCCGCTCAATCGCCATTTCCCTGCCTCCACTACGCGAGAAAACGTGTCAACCGAATTCAGCCCGGCCTGTTGATGAACTCATGCTCTCTGAAGTCCTTCCGGGAAGATTCAAAATGATGTGCAATGAATGAATACAAGACGCATGATCCCGGAAGTGGCGGGGTGCGGCCGAGGATGAGACATGAGACGCCACACGACTGTCAAGGGACAGCACTACCGAAGAGAGGCGTGTAAAGTCGGGAACAGGTTGAGCCGGCGCAAGATATACATATATATAGAACTGTAAGCAATGGCCCTCGGCCATGCCTGGACGCCAGGTCAGGCTCGCGTCGCAAGCATACAGTCGGGCCGCTGAAAGAAGGAACGCTAAATAAGAAACGAAGCTCCTTTTGGGCCCTAAAAGCGCCTCCGTGCCCGAGGAGGGCGAGAGGGACAGCAATGGAGGAAGCTGGGGAACCTCGAGCCCCTTCCGAACCCAAACATTTTCATTATTTCACCGTCTTGACTGTAATGGGCAAGGCCCAGAGACCCTCATCCCCACCGCACTCGTCATACTGGCAGGCTGCCTACCATATGACAGTGGCAACGACTCAATCAGCGGTCGTCGCCAATCAGGATCACATTTCGATACGCGGAGCCCCTGTTCGAACTATCTGCCAAGCTCTTAAACTACATGACGGCAAAACAAAGCACCCAAGCTGCCCTGATCAGTTAGAAGCCATTGCAAGTCGTATCGTTCAATGCCAGCGTGATTACAACAACTTGAGCAACAACCAGCTGGAGTAGCACGCTACACTGCGTATTCGGGTTCAAATGTGTGCGAGGAGCTATCACTTACACTTTGTAGTAGTTTGGGCCCAACAGTATTCATTCCCAGAAATTATGACTAGTATTTGTGTGAGGCCCTGGGCCATCTGACTCATCCTGATCCCTGATCTGTTTGTCTCTGTGCTTCTTCGGAGTCATCCATCGTCTCTTACTGCGCACTAAATCAGGAGACCTGCCCTCCCTCTGAGGCTGTTGAGTCGAATTCCAGAACGTCCATGACATTGACAGTGGAACCAGTCTTGAACACCGCCCTCTTCTGCCCTAGGTATGCCCCAAGGCCCCCCGCAACGACCCAAGGACCCAGCCCCTGGTCCCAAGACCTCCAAGACTCCGAACAACTTCTCAGAGGCACCCCAACGAGCCCACCCAACCCCAACACCTCCCAAGATCCCCGAAAACCCCAAACAACTTATCAGAAAAACCTACCCCCTCCCATAGAGTGCCGCGACCAGCGTGCCATGACCACGGCCGTGTCGCAGCGCTACCTCTGCCGCGCAGCTTTCGCAGGCGCGCTGGCGGATGTGCGCGGCGGTGCCACTGGACTTACCTCGCCTCACGTTGCACGCGCTGGGCCCATCTTGCCCGATGCTTGCCGCATTGCCGTCGGCATGCTGCGACGTCTACGTGCCGACTGTAGAGCAAGAAGCAAGAGCTCTGCAGCTTTTCAGTGACGTCCCCCTCATCGCAGAGCGCCTGCGCTTGGAGGAGATACAACTCACATGTTTCCCACCCCGCTGCCGCTATCCGACAAGATCGGATGTTTCCAGAGGTGTGCATGAACCAAAGTGTCCACAGCTCCTCGCTCCATTTTTCAGTCGGGGGGCCCTCTGGGCCTCGTGTGGGGTGCTCTGGAGGCCACCTGGTGTTTCTGAGGCACCCTGGGGGGCACCTTGGGCTGGGGTCACCGTTGGCAAAGCCCAAGGCTTTGATAAACCAGGACATTGGCACGCGCCAGAAAACTGCAGCCGTGCATAGAAATGTTCTCCATGCTGTGTTTCCTGCAACTGGGTCTGGCAAATTCTGGCTGGCAGTGTCCTGGTTTTGGGACCTCGGAGACCCCAATCGCCCGAGACGTCCTCGAAGAACGATGCAAATTCCAAAACAGTGCGGCACCCGGAACCAAGCCGACGTGTTGTTTTCGCAACGCGGCTTCCCAGAGATCTGGACCTCTTCCTGGGGACCACTCTTTGATCCTGAATCGTTTTTCTTTGCCTCGTCGTCCGGTGAGGGCTCCCGAAGGTCGAAAGCAGTCAAAGATCTTCCGTAGTGAGATTGTCGCGCCGCGAGGATGTCAGGGAGACCCCGCTGACTCACCACACCGTGTGGTCGCCGTGCAGTGTAGGGCTCCCCGATGGTCTCCAGGGCCCTGACAAAGCGCCGAGGAGGAGCCACGAGGGGTGCACCCATGGGAGCCCTCCAGCCACCAGGCCCTCGGAGGCCGAAGGCGTTGATGAACCCCGCGCGGTCTCAGTTGGGGGTCTTCTCTCTCCCAAGAGCGATGCGATGTAACGCGCGTCCAAGCAGGGCAAAACAAGGCAATCCAGTGTAATGAGCGGCATTGCGATGCAGAGCAGCTCGAGGCAGGGCGGAGCGCGAAGCAAGGCAAAGAGAGCAGCGCGATGCAAACTCGGTGCAATAGAAAGCAATTCAGTTCAAACCAAGGCAAGGCAAAGCCAATCTGTGGAGACAGTGCAGCACAGCGCACACACGTGCAAGACGAAACAGACCGGTGCAGCGGAAACCATCACACATGAAAGCGCAATGGGCTGGGAGCCCTAAGCGAACCGGGCGACCCCCAGGGCCCCAAGCGACCCGCGGGGGCCCCAGGCGCCGTCCTGGGCGACCGGGCGACCCCCTGGGGGGCCGTGGCCACCGCAACAGGCCTTGTCAAATGCCCCCCTTGCACCAAGGAAATACGGCATTTTCGTGCCGTGACGACTTCTGCGCGTGTTCCCGACACCGCGTGCATCGCTCCCGCCCGACCAGCTGCCTGCTCGGAGGGTGGGTGGGACGAGGGGTGGTGGCAAAGCGTGCGCGAAGAAATCTTTAGATGATGACGGCACTAGATATGTTAGGCCGCGGGCCCCGTTTTACGGCCCGCACAATGACAGGTCGCGAACCCCACAATGACGATCGCACGGGTCGTTCGATGTCGGCCGACTGCGGGCTGCTGGCCTCGTTGAATCTTGAACGCCCGCGCTGTGGTCGCCGCCGCGCCGACGCGGCGCGAATCGGTCGTGGGCCCGCCTCTTTGGGCAAAACCTCAAGAACTCGTTTGCATCTCGCTTCCTGGGGCCTTTCGGCCCACGATGGCCTCGGGAAGCTTCAGAGGAGCACCACAACAACTCATGGGGTCTCAAGACGACCCAAGACAGCTCCAAGACGACCCCAAAAGGGCTCCAAGAAGTTCCCAAGTCTCCACCATACGGCCGCACGAAAATGCAAACTGAGCGTCTTCCAAAGACCCTGGTGGAACTATCGCGCCGAAGATGACCCCAGAAGTCCTGAAGATGCGCCCGAGAGGCCCCAAAGCAAAGAGGCCAACAAAGATGCATCCAAACGGCAGCGTAGTATCCATGCAACATTACCGTCGCGCCATGCTACAACGTCGTAGCGATGCTTCGCAAACGGTACTAAGACGGTTCTACCGATCCTGCCTGGGAGCGATCCGTAGAACCATAATGCATGCATGTCATTCCTGCCTGTCAAGGTGGAGTTTGCCGAGGGCAGCTGGATATGTCACATGTGCCTGCGAGATAAGATAATCACACGTCGCACGTCTGTGTCGCACGTATGTTCGAGCACACCGCAAAGGGGATGCAACCAACGACGCGGACAACGTCTGGCAACCCGCCAGCAGAAAACAGAAGAGACGCGCGCGACACTTGTCGAAGAGTCCGCTCCATCGTCCAAAAACATACCAAACAATAATGTTACGCTTGCTCCTTTATCTGGTCTCTTCCTCAAAATGTGGAAGGGAACCGGTGAGAGGAGGGAGCGAAGGAAGAACGGCGGAAGGAGGCGCACACACGAGCCTCGCGTAGGTCTGACATGTCCAAGACGAACAACGTGCACCCGCGAATGCTGCCCTGCTCGTTGCTCCAAGCTGAGGCCTTGGCCAATGTTCGGCAGGTGGTTTGCAGAGGGCATGGGCAGCGGGTGATGGGGAGGTGATATGCAGATTTGCCGCCGTCGCGTTCCTGCCAGCATTTTCGTTTCTCCAGCGCCCCCTGCCCACTGAGCGCAAATTACACGCATATTGAGATGATAGTTGCACAGCGTGCTCTGGATAGTGCGGTCGTTCTCAAACTTGTTCCTTACCAGCGGGATTGCCGGACATGATCTGTGCAAGACAAACACCATAATGAAAACTGGCATGCCCGAGTTCTGGCTTCAGCGAAGAATTCAAGCGTACACGTGGCGGCGATTCGTTTTTTGATGGTACGCGGTGATCGTGGCCACCTGCCACCAGCAACGGCGGCAACAACAGTACAACCGTTAGGGAAGGGAAATATCGGCCACATTGACATCCTTGTGCCTCAGAATCAGACCAGAATCGCAAACGATTATGACTAGAAGGGCGGCAGAACATACCAACGAAACTTAACATCACTCCAGGACAGAAGACGGATTTCTCTTCCATATTCCATCATGTGGCTCTATGTGTTCGGTTTCCCGTTGTTGGCTTCTGGTCCTGGGAAACAAGGTACACACATATAAACTGGAATGTAAACGAATTACAACGATCATCACGCGAGGGATAAAAACAAATAGAGAGAGATGGGAATGCAGACGGACCTCTCGGACGACTCGCTGCAACAGAACAAGATGCTTGAAACCAAACGATGCCGGCCCCAATGGGTTTCAAACCAACTCCTACCATGTGAGATTTCGATCTGGGGAGCCGGCGCTGAACAGGACCTCGGAGCAACCGTTGCCCTTGGCGTTCAACCAGACGAGCTTGGTCGAGTCCAAATTGTTGCAAGCCTGCGATCACCATTGGAATAAATGCAACAGGTGTTACCCAACGTGGGCCCCAAACGGTTGTTCTAGCATACTGGGTGATGCAATCTAGGTGATGCAGGCTATGTTGCGGAAACCATGTGGTGCACTGTACGTGGAACACACTATGTCGTGTAAACTATGTGGTGCATGCTACGTGGGTCAGACTATGTGGTGCAGGCTGCTTGGTGTGCGCTACGTGGTGTGATTTTTGTGGTAGGATCAAACGTACTCATCTATGCGGTGAAGTTGTGTGGTGCCATCTATGTGGTGCACTATATTGGGTGTGAGCTATGTCGTGCAATGTCTGTGGTGCAAACCATGGGTGCGATCTGTCTGGTGTAAGTTATGTGATCCAACATGAACAGTGCAACCGATGCGGGGTGTGGAATGTACTGGAATAGCTGTATGGAACACAAAGCAGCACGAAATACAATTAGGGCCACCCGTGCTGTGAGAGAGCACGTTCTCTTCGTTTTCTTTCTGCGGGGCCCTGGGCGCGCCCGTCGCCTGCGCTCCGAGGTCACTCAAGGACCCTTGCGAGCCGAGATGGCAGCGCACTAGGGAGTTCAGAGGGAGGCGCAGGAGGAGGAGAGGTTTACATGGGCATCACAGCCACAGCCCCCGCCTTTCTTGCAGCTGAAGCGCCGCCTCGCCTCAGAACATGAAATCCCGCTCACCGTAGCCACCGTGGCCATCTCACGTGGTCCCAGAAAACCTGCGAATTACAACCGGCACGGCTACACGAACACGTATCCCTTGAGAAAACCTCTAGCATAAATCCTTGAATGGGTTCTACGCGGTGTCCATGGTGAGATTTGCAGACTTCGCTGCGCCCGTAGCCTGCCCCATCTGATCCATGAAACTCTGCGGCTCGACTCCGCGATGGTCGTGCTGTTGGCCAGGCTCCAGGTAACGATTTGCTGCGCTGACCTCCTTGGTCCACTGGGGAACCCGTCTCTCGTGCTTGGGAATCAGCTTGGCCTCGAGAATCTGCAGGTCGGAGTCCTCGATCTTCTCGTCTCAGTACGCGTGGACACTCAGAGACGCTGCGGGGATGGCCTGTGCCGCGAGGAAAACCCTGACCTTGCGATTCCAGAGCCTATGCCATCCAAAGACTTGCTGCTTCGCCTATACCTTATCCCAGACCTCCCCCATCGTCGCAGCGTGGACCCAGAGCGCATTGACGTAAACGCTGCCTCCGTCTGGCAACGCTGCTTGTGGACATGCGCCCTGGGATAGCCTGCGCGACGATTGCGGTCCACCTGCATCTCGAAAGTGCAACAGTGTTGGCCCATCGCAGGCCCGACGTCGGACGACGCACGCACCGCGCAGTGAGCGCAGAAGGCGCGGCAACGCGTTCCTTCGCAGAGGATGTCAAAGACGTTCTCGCAGCACGGAGGCCCTGTCTTCAACTCGAACAGGCCATTCTTGCCCTGGATAAATGCCAGTGCTGCCAAGCTGGCGCCGCGGTCGGCGGTCTCGATATTGGCCTCCTTCTTGTTGACCTCCTTGCCATGCTGAATCACCCTGGCGCGTGTCTTCGACATGTCCAGGACCCGCCGCTGTCCGGATGGATGCGCACTTGGACCCTCTACATGAGGGCCAGCGATGAATCCCGAGTAAAGCGGGATCCTTAGGCCACGTGGATCTCCTCGAGTGAACCTCCAGAACCAAGACGGCCAAACCAGTCGCAGGGAAGGGGGGCGTCAAGTAGGTGGCCCCTCGCCACGTCGACCGTAGCGCGCGCTTTCCAGTTGTGGCTCATCATCTGGTCGAAAACAACATTGTTCTTCCTGGGCAATGTGCGGGCCTTCCTCCAGTGAGCGCCGATGTGCTTTTCTTCGGGTCCGAGGAGTATCTCGCCCTTTTTCTGCTGGAGACTCTTCCAGTCCTGGAGTAGAGGTGTAGTGATCGATAGTCACCACTGCCTTCATGGCCTCTTGGATGGCCCCGCCCATAGTGGATGGTTCTCGACGAATCCTGCAAGCGTGCCCGCAGCGTTTGACAACTCGCCGAGGGTCTCCAGCAGGCGCGCCAATTCTTCGTCCTCGTCGCTCCCGCCGCGAACCCAGCTCTGGCCCATAGTGCCTCCGAGATCCTCCTCGCCTTCTTTCGCCAGCTTTCCCCAGATGTCGTCGACGAGCTTCTTGTCCTCCTGAAGAATGTGCCATTGGATAGATTCCTGCCGATCTTGGGAAGTTCACGGTCGTTCATGCTGGGGGCCATGGTCAGAGCTGCAAGGGCCCAGCTAAGCAAGTCGCTGTATGGCGTCCGACTGAATTCTGAAACCGGGTGAATCGGAAGGGCCCTGGCGCTCGGTGTCCGCGCGCGCCTGGAAGTATGCGTAGAGAGGCTCGTAGTCACCGCTCCCGTCTGCTGTCTCCAAGTAGTTCTGCGCGATCTTGCACTCTTGCGCGACTCGATCAGGCCCAGGGTTATGCCGAGTGGCATTTGCGTCAACAGCTTCAGCCAGACATGAAGAGTAGGCTGTCTCGGGCATTGATACTGCGCGGCCGTCGTCCCCGACTGTGGATCGTTGAAGGTGGCGTTGGAGCTCGGATCCTCAGCGTCCAGCTGAACGCGGCTCTTCAATATCAAATGATAGATCACGTCGTCGGTAGACCAGCGTCCGTTCCGTTCATTTCGAGTTAGGATGACTCGTCCTTCATCGCCTCCTCTTACTCCGCCATGTCTTGCAACATCTGCAGAGTCTTCTCCTTCTCCATCATCGCGATGTAAAAGCAGTGGCTGCTTACGCGCGGGTAGGAGGTCTGGTAGCTCGATGAGGTCGCCCACGTAGATCCAGGCATGGGAATTGTCTCCGGAAAGGAACCACAAGTCTCGAACAGCACCCTGATGCACCCCATCACCTCGTCACGAGATAGATGCCGCGGCCCCCTCGCCTCGGGATGTCCGAAGAAGAAGAACCCGCAGCCCTTGCGAGGTGGAATTGTGGTCTTGTCGCTCGGAATCTCCACCAGGTTGTCCGGGAGGGCGCGCGGCCCAACTTCTTCTTCTTCTTCGAGCTCCCAGCTCGCCGCGCACCTGGCAGCGACGTCGACGCCCAGATTCCGCCTGCGGGCAGCGTCCACATCCCTCCGACGATTTGTCATCCAGGAGTGGCAACCGCATTCGAATGCGTCACCTTGGAGCTTCGACGATGGACCAGGACGTTGATGTCGTGATCGTCGGGGGACAGAACGTAGACGCCGACGGCCCCGGCGTACCTCGGCCTTGGGGGGAGTGGAGCGTCCTCCTCGGCTGTCTCCTCAGCTGCCCCCCTGGCTGTCTCCTGGGCCGCGTCGTCAGCGAGGTGCGCGTTGGCGGGAGGGCGCCGTGCTCCAGTCGCAGGTCTTCTGGTTCCTCTCGCCGCTGTAGCTTCACCCTGTGGCATCTCTGGGAGCGACTCCGGCTCTTCTTGTTCTTCCTCTTCTATGTTGGCCAGAGCCTTGGCGGTGAGCTTCCAGTCCGCGCAGCCTTCGCAGGTCGTCTCGTACTGCTGCAGGAGGTTGCCGCCGTAGATGTAATCGCCTTATGCTGCGTCAGGTTGTCCACCGCAGGGTTCTTTCTCCTGCGTAGTATTTTCCTCCTGTTAGTCGTCGCCCTCGTTCGAGTCCTCGCCCCCGACCTCCCTGGCCCGCTCGGTCTGGCGCTTGGTCTTCTTATTCTGGCGGCGCATTCGATGGTTATCCCTTCTTGCTTGGATCCCCTTCGCGGTGAAAGGTCGAATCCGCTTGGCCCTGGGCGCGCGGCCTGGGTTATGCTCGGTGGGTTATCGAAATCCTTTCGGCGTGCCCACTGCGCCCCCCGCGCCCGCCATCGTGCTGAAGTGGCTCCACTTGTCGTTCAAGGCGCGCCCCATCCTGCGGAGTCGCTTCCGCAACTGCTTCTTCCAAAAAGCCCAAATGTGGAAATCGAGGAAAAACTGCGCGAGCTGCTGCATTCCGGCACGCGTGATGCGATGCGCTTGCGAACGCGCCGCGGACTTGTAGAGGAAGGTCGGCAGCCCCTCGGCGTAGTCTGGCGGGTCTGCAATCTCTGGGTCGAACGCCCTCGCGCCCTTGTGCCCCAGCCCCATCGAGTTGACGTTGGGCGTAGATGAATCCGTTATCCGCCTCGCCGCGCTGCTTGATCGAAGCCACCCTGGGCCGCTGCAGATCGAGGTGCCGCTGCAGCTAGACCCGTTGGATCTCAGCACGAGACCATCATTCTGCCTGCTGTAGCTGGATGATCCTCTGCCGACGGCGCAGTGAACCACCTTCAGCGCGATGCGCCCCGTTGATCACCTGGTCCAAACGACGCACTTCCACCTCGAGGTTCTCAATCGCGGCCATGGGGAGTGCAATGCGCGCGTTGAGGCGCTCAAGTTCTAGCTAGGCTTGATGGGCAAACACGTGGAATATCATCGTTGTCGATTCTTGCATCCATGGGGCTCTCTTGGAAGCCCTGCGCAAGCCTCGGAATCGCATGGCAGGGGAACTGTAGAAACGCCAGAATCATGAATTGCCGCCAGGTGTTCAACGATCCGGGGCCTTCGACGGCTGGAGAGGAGGCGGGGGGGGAGGGGGGGGAAGGGGGGGGAAGGAGATGGAAGGGAGCAGGAAGAGGATGATGTACACGAGGGAGCAGGCAGGATGAGGGGGGGGAGGAGGAGGAGGAGGAGGAGGAGGAGCAGGAGGGGGAGGAGCAGGGAGATGGAAGGGAGCTGCAGGAGAGGACCTAGCGGGAAGCGAGTGCGACGTGGACTTGTCAGAACGCGCGCGGGAGGTTGCCAGGCCCGTTTCGTTTGAGACATCCTTCCAACACTGAGCTCCAAGGTGTCGCTCGCGAGGTGGTCCGGCCCGTTTCGCTTGAGCCATCCTCGCATTGCGAAGCTCGGCGACGTTGCGCGCGAGATGGTCTGGCCCTATCTGCCCGAGACGTTTCGTAGCGCAGGCGTTCCAATCGCAACCTCTCCCATTCCTCCTCCCGCCCCCCTCTTC